CCATACAAATGAGCCTCCCTTTATACTTCTTCACCACCAACTTCTGTGAACAATAAGGGCTGGAGAGAGCACCAAAAAGCCTCAACTGAGTATGGAAATAATATGAGAAACAAGAAAAGATCAATTTCTAATCGGAGATATGCTATGGAGTCACTGGTCGAGGTGGAAAACAGAGAAACAAAGGATATAATTTAGGAGTTTGATGAAAGCAACATGCAAGTTAGTATATTCCAATGGATATCTCAAGTCCCAAGCTCTTTCCCAATGGTTTCAAGTCCTTGCCAACCGAATCAAAGGCAGTGGTGATTGGCCTTCAATAGCCACACGAGCCATGTTAATTATTTCCTAGAAGGAAAGGTTCTCCTCGTACAGTGCTGACTAGCCTCAAAATTTCATCTATGTATAGAATTCTAATGAATAACAAATGGTCCATAAAATCATCCAATCTCAAATCAATTAGACCATGATTTCATTACTTTTGCAAACTTTGGCTTCTTCCTTGACTTCTGCTGGAAAGGATCTTCTAGCCTTCCTTCATGTCATAGCCATCCGTCATGTCGTAGCCTTAGCTTATCGATGTGTCTTGCATTAGATACATCAAACATTTTCTTTGAATCATGCCTTGGATAAGACTGTTCTTTGTTTGAATTTGAAGTCGTAACCTTGAAAAAAAAGAAGGTCACCACTCACCAGTGAAAGAGGAGAGAGAAAGGACCGATTGATGGTACCTCTATTGAAACATAATGGTTTCATGTTCTTTCATCGATTGGTTATTCCTNAATGAAAGAGGAGAGAGAAATGACCGATTGGTGGTACCTCTATTGAAACATAATGGTTTCATGTTCTTTCATCGATTGGTTATTCCTTTCCATTTGTATCTCTTTCTCCAATTTCGGTCTCGATTAGTTCATAAAGATTGAATGGCCAATTCTTTTCCAAACCCAGGTTCCTGGAATCTCATTTTGTTGGCTTAGTAGAGTTGGGTGACCCCGAACAATTCGTACACTTCGATCTAGTTTCTTTAATGGAAACAAAAAATAAAGCAGAGATGTTGGAGAGGTTATGACAGTCTATGAATTTTCAGAATTTGAAGCATGTTGATCATATAGGTTTATCAAGAGGACTAGCCTTATGGTGGAAGGCAGACTTGAAGGTAGACATGGAGTTCTCAAATTGCAACATCATCAATACTCGTTGCACATTGAGGCAACTCCCAATGCCATGGCAAGCATTATTCATTCATGAGGATCCTGACTATGACAAGAGACAAAGGGTATGGAGATCTTTAAGAGCCTTTCTTTTCAGGGCCCTTCTTTTCACGTGGTCCAACAATAGGGAGGGTGATGCAAATGTACAAGAAAGGATAGACAAAGTTTTAGTCAATTCAAAGTGGAGAATAACCTTCCCTTATGCCCAAGTTGTCCACACACTAGAATAGGTTCTGATCACAGCTTCATTGTGATTAGTTTTGGTACGAAGAAAAGAAGGATCCCTTTTCATTTTAAATTTGAAGCCATGTGGTTGGAATCTGAGCAATGCGAAGCAATCGTCAAAAAGAGTTGGCAACCATTAGCTAGTAATCGTAACCAGGAATCTATCCGCAAAAAGCTAACGGAATGTAGTGTTGACCTTCGAAACTAGAGCAAAGATTTCTTTGGTAATAATAAGAAAATCTTGGATGAACTCAACTCCAAATTGGCTTTAGTATAGGAGGGTGACGCTATTGCACAGAACCTTACTTTGGAAATGCAAGTTCAAGCCCAAATTGATCTAATCAGATGAAGAGAGGAAAAGTATTGGATGCAATGATCCCCTATTAACTAGCTGAGAGATGGGGACCAAAATACTAGATTTTTCCAAAAGACTACGATTCAAAGGCAGCAGAGAAATCAAATTCTTAAACTTAAATCCATGGATAAACAGTGGATTAAGGAAGAAGATGCATTAAATTCCCATATAGCTTAGTTTTTTTAGAATCTTTTTTCCTCATCAGGAGAACAAGATTTTAGTGAAGTGTGCTTGAAGTAATTCCTTTCTTAGTTACAAAAGAGATGAACGCTTCACTTTTAAATCCCATTTCAGAGAGCAAAATCTGTCAAGCTTCCAAACAACTTAGTGACCTCAAAGCCCCAGGGCCTGACGGGTATCCAGGAATTTTTTATTAGAAACACTAGCATGTCGTGGGGAAAGAGGTATGTAGAGCTGTCCAGAAATTTTTTTCAGGAGGAGTTATGGGCCCAAAGATAAATTTTATAATCCTTGTGCTAATCCCTAAAGAACCATCCCCTGAATCCATGTCCCAATTTCCGTCCCATTGCTCTATGTAATTTTCTGTACAAAATTATCTCCAAAGTCCTTCCTCCACAAGCTAATCACGCCCAACCAAGCTGCATTCATCCCATGTCACCAAATTTAGGATAACATCCTGATTGCAATGAAGCATTTCACACAATGAAGATCAAAAAGGACAAAGAAAAGTTGATGACAATCAAGTTGGACCTTAATAAGGCCTATCATAGGCTTGAATGGAACTTCTTAGAAGCTATTATGAGGAAGCTGGGATTCAATGCACCCTGGATCAACCTTATTCTCCAGTGTGTCACAACTACGAAGTTCGAAGTGGTTATTAATGGGGTGACAAGATGTGAAATTAAGCCACAAAGGGCCCTTTGCCAAGGTATGCAATTTCGCCCCATCTCTTCTTACTAGTGTCAGAAGTTTTGTCCAGACTAGTGTGCAAAGATCTGCACGAAGGTCGCATGTCCGGTATGAAGATAAAGAGAAGGAGCCCTACGCTATCACATCTCTTCTTCGCGGATGACTCTTTGCTTTTTCTAAGGGCAGATGAACAGGAAGGGCAATTTTTAAGAAGAACCTTATCCAAGTATTGTGATGCTTCTGGTCAACTTATCAACTTTCAAAAATCAGGGGTTCTTTGTTGTAAGAATACAACTATGGATGAAAGGAGTTACTTAAGTACGGTACTAGAAATCGAATCTCTACCAAACTCGACTAAATACCTTGGGATCCCTTCCTTTTGGGGGTGTTCCAAAGTTCAAACTTTCAACTACCTTGTGGAGAGAGTGATGAAGAAGATCTAAGGGTGGAATGAAGCATATCTATCTCAAGCAGGTAAGGAAATTTTTGATTAAGGGTATGGTTCAAGCGATTCCAAGCTACGCTATTTCTTGCTTAGCTTTTTCTCGCAATTCATGCGACAAAATCATCTCTTTAGTGAGACATTTTTGGTGGGGGAAGAATAAGGAGGTAAATGGAATTCCATGGAAGAAATGGGATGACTTGACACGTCCCAAAGCAAATGGAGGTATTGGCTTTAGGGACATCCTTTGCTTTAATCAAGCTCTGCTCGCAAAACAAGGGTGACATTTAATCCAAAACCCAAATTCCTTTTGGGCTAATGAAGTCTATATAATTTTTGAACACACATTTTATGTAGGTAACAAAGGTGCCAGACCTTCATGGATGTCGAGTAGCCTGTTAATAGGGAGGGATTTGCTTGACAAATGGGTGCATTGGCAAGTTGATAGAGGCGACAAGATCAATCTTTGGGAGGATAAGTGGGTTCCTACCTTTCCAAACTTTTCCATTGCCTCCAAGAAACCAAAAGCATGTGGAATCAACCTCGTGGAAGATGGTATCAACACTGCTACAGAGGATTGGAATGCTGCAGTACTTAAACTAAAGGTTAGTAACGAAGAATGGAAGGCCATTAAAGCTGTCCTGATTGCAAAATTTATAGGTTCTGGTCAGTTAATATGGCATCCCAACCAAAGAGGTGTCTATACAGTGCAGTCAGGGTATGCGATTGCCAGAGAAAATTTTTAGGTTCTGATCTTTAATCCACCTCCAGAGCTTAGGGTTCTTCTCCTTTTTTGATTGTAATTAAAGTTCAAGCATATGAATGAAGTATTTCCACCCAAACAAAAAAAAAAACCTTAATGCTTATTTTGACCTCTTCAACTATGAAATTGGTTGCATTTTGCTCTCTCAACAGATGAGTTTTTCATATTTTCGTTCTTTTAAATTGGAATAGTATGATATCAATAATCATAGAGGTGAAAATACAATGCGAAAAATGTGATAATTGATGAGGCCATGTGCAAAAAGTAAGAACCGTTGGAGGTGCAATATTAGGAATGTGATTCCTAAGATGGCAATGTGAAATACAATACATAGTTAAGGGGTCAAAGAATAATTTATACTAAATTAAATATTCCCAAGGGAAAAATAATACTTTGGATCCTTTAGTCATGCCTCTTATCTCACAACACCTCATCTACTATCACATTTCTTACATTATCCTCTAATTTGACCCTTGATAAAGCGAAACGAAGAAATAAGATTTATATAATTGCTCTCAAATAATTGAGATCAGAAATGAGAAAAAAAGGATGAACAGAATGTCCAAAGAAAAAGAACTAGCGTGACCAATTCTCTATCCAAAACATGGTATCCCCCTCATTTTGGGTAATCTGAACCAATTCAAATAGCTAAATAGGTAATGTGAGAAACTCAATAATTGAGTAGACAAACAAAAAATAGGTTCATAATTTAAGGGGTTAAAGTATAATTTCCCCATTTACAAATATATTTCATAAAGTGGAGCGAATCTTATGGAGAGCTCTCTCTCTGTCTCAGTAGGTCACTCTGGTTTGTTTTCTCTTTTCTGTGCTTTTTCTTACTCTTATTTCTTTTCTCTCCGACGCTGTTTAGTCCTTTCCCTCTCATGGAGAATGAGAGCAGATGCTGCTTTTGCATTTTGCCGCAAAATACCCCTTTCTCTCTCTTAAAGCGCTCTCACTACCTCTTCAAAAATCTCTGCAAGTGTGTAAGAGGAGGCGTCTGTTTCCCATCATCAAAAGACTATAATAAAGCTTCTCAAAGGACCTCAGCTTTTATTTCTTTTGTCTGCCATTTATTTCCCATAAATCTAATACATCACTTCTGTCATTCCCAGATCTCCTCCTTCCCCTCAACCTTACTCTCTCTCTCTCTCTCTCTCTCTCTCTAGACTTCCAACTCGCCAGAAAATCAATTCACCAACCATTTTCTGGCAGTTCCATTCCGTTCTTTCTTCTCCTCAATCTTCTCTGTCTACCATTTTCTGGAGCAAGCCTCGCCAAAATAGCTAAAAACAGGGATTTAGCTAACGGGTTGGAGTTGTTCTTAGCTGTACTTTGATTTAAACTACGAAAATGGGTTGTACTCTTCTGGGTTTTTTCGTATTCCTACATTGCCAACACCCCCTAAGTTTTTCCGGTATCTTATCTGACAAGAGTGTAAACAAAATTTTACTACCCAGGAACTAAGCAGTTACCTGAGAAAAAAAACAGCACCGAAAGAGGCGGTAAATAATTATTTTTCATCAATTTTCTGTTAAAGCCAATCTGGGTTTTGTGATTCACCTATTTTCTCATCTGTATATTTCTGAAAATCAACTAAACCCCATTTCACCAGAGAGAAAATTCTCACAAGAAGCAAGCAAAAATGATCACACTCTCAGACATGTACCATGTCCTCACAGCTGTTGTTCCACTCTATGTGGCCATGATCTTGGCCTATGGTTCAGTGAAGTGGTGGAAAATCTTCAGCCCAGACCAGTGTTCAGGCATCAACAGGTTTGTTGCCCTCTTTGCAGTCCCTCTGCTTTCCTTCCACTTCATCTCCTCCAACAACCCCTATGCCATGAACTACAAGTTCATAGCAGCTGACACTCTCCAGAAAATCATAGTTCTTATAGTTCTAGTCATTTGGTCAAGAACCAGCTCTAGAGGCTGTCTTGAATGGTCCATAACTCTATTTTCTCTCTCTACCCTACCCAACACTCTTGTCATGGGCATTCCTTTGTTAAAGGGCATGTATGGTGAAGCATCAGGAACTCTAATGGTGCAAATAGTTGTGCTTCAATGCATTATATGGTACACTTTGATGCTATTCTTGTTTGAGTTCAGAGGAGCTAGGCTTCTCATTTCAGAACAATTTCCAGATACTGCTGGGTCCATAGTCTCATTCAGGGTTGACTCTGATATCATGTCTTTGGATGGTAAAGAGCCATTACAAACTGAGGCTGAGGTTGGTGAAGATGGGAAGCTTCATGTAACTGTGAGAAAATCAACAAGTTCAAGGTCTGAAATTTTGTCAAGGAGATCCCATGGGCCTAACTCTGGTGTTTCATTAACACCAAGGCCATCAAACTTGACCAATGCAGAGATTTACTCAGTGCAATCATCAAGAAACCCAACTCCAAGGGGTTCAAGCTTTAACCATACTGATTTCTGTTCAATGATAAATGGAAATAATGCTAGTAATGTGAGTCCAAGGCAATCAAGTTATGGGAACAAGGGTTTTGATGAGGAGAATGGGGTTGGTGGGTTTGGGAACCATTCAAGGGGTAATGGGGTGTTTGGGCAGGGGAATTCAGGGTACCCTGCACCGCCGAATGCCGGGATATTCTCTCCGCTAGCCGGTCCTGGGGCAAAGAAGGCGGCAAATGGGACAGAGGGTGGCAAAGAACTTCACATGTTTGTTTGGAGCTCAAGCGCTTCTCCAGAGACTGAAGGAGGGATTCATGTCTTCAGAGGAGGAGACTATGGGAATGAACTAGGGGTTGGAGCTCACCGAAAAGGTTTGAACACTTGATCTTTGATACTGTTTCAGTCATAGATTTTGATTGCTATGTTGGTTTGCTATTGTGTACTATGATCCTATGCCAAGTGTTGGAGTTTTCTACTTTTGATTTAATTATATTTGTCTTTGTCGATTCCGTTTCTGTCTGTGAGCCCCTTTTGTTATTTTGTGGGTGCAGTGGGGTTTGTTTGTTATGTCCTTCTAACAAGGTGTTCCTTGCCATGCCAAAATTTATATTTTTTTTTTGGTTTACAACATTTTTAGGTCAAGCTGTGACAAAATGGGATTGTTGAGATATCGATTCTACCTTTTTTTTCCCTACCTTTTAATCTTCGACACCTTACTTCAGTTTCAAAGACTTACCCAGTTGGTATATGAGCCTAACTGTCTCGTATTTCTTTTCGTTGCAAGATCATTGAATTTTTTGGTCTAATTTTTTTTTAAATTTTGCAATTTTCTTTTTTGGATGAATACTCGTAAGGGAATACGTGCAAATTTTGAATGCACTTCACCCAACAACATATGCCAGTTGCAAGAGCCCAAGAATAGAGTTTCAATCCTCCAAAGATTAGGCCCTTTTGGAGGTGGTGCTTGAATATGTTTCCTTCAACTAATTCTCCTATATGGAATAGTAGAACGGCCAAATTTGTTTGATTAAAAAATTTCTGCCATTAGTTCTATTGCTTATGTTGTATGAACAATGATCCAATTGATGTTTGTGTTGTTCAGATTATGATGAATTAGGTCGAGATGAGTTTAGTTTTGGAAACAAAGCGGTTCTTAATGGGGCTGATCGGGAAGGGCCTGCGCTTTCCAAGGCTGGTTCAAGTTCCACTGCTGAGCTCCACCCCAAGACTGGTGCTCATGAAACCAAGCCGACTGCCATGCCACCAGCTAGTGTGATGACCAGACTCATTCTGATCATGGTGTGGCGCAAACTCATTAGGAATCCAAACACTTACTCCAGCGTTTTTGGCCTTACCTGGTCACTGGTCTCATTCAAGTATGCAAAATCAAATCTCCCTCATGAATTGAATCTATTTTTTCTATGCTTCCATGTCTCAACGTTGTTCATGGTCTTTGCAGGTGGGGGATTGAAATGCCTGCTATAATAGCAAAATCGATATCTATTCTTTCCGATGCTGGTCTTGGAATGGCTATGTTTAGTCTTGGTATATTTACCTTTAAACAAAACTTAATGTTTCAATCTTCTTGTGTGTTTTGAGGAAAGTTTTGCTGAAGGAAATGTACTTTTGTGGCCTAACTTGCAGTGAGTAAACTAATTCTAGTATGGAATTTTGCAGGTTTGTTCATGGCATTACAGCCAAAAATCATAGCATGCGGGAACTCAATTGCTACCTTTGCCATGGCTATTCGATTCGTCACAGGTCCTGCAGTCATGGCTGCTGCTTCAATTGCTGTTGGTCTACGCGGTGTGCTGTTGCACATTGCAATTGTTCAAGTATAAGGAGTTCAATGATACTGATAAATTTGCGACTCCAATATTAAAGTACCTATTCTGGTCTTACTTGTTTCGAGAAGTTGACATACATCGGTTTTTTTCAATTTTCAGTCGGCTCTTCCTCAAGGAATTGTTCCGTTTGTCTTTGCTAAGGAATACAATGTTCATCCTGACATACTAAGCACCGGGTAAGAACTCAAAATCTGAATAATTTTTCTAGTATCTCCTTGGTGAAAATTGCATTTATGTAGATATATGGTAATGTACTACTATGCATATTATAATGTTATGAGTAAATATATGCATGATGTTAAAGCATATTACTTAAAAAACAATGGGCAACAAGTGGAGATGTGCACAAGGATCATGTATTAATTTGGGAAATGTTATTTTATGGACGTGAGATGAGCTCTTATACACCCTGCATATGCGAACACAGATCGCATGTGGAAAGTTATATGGTCATGGTGTCAAGTATACATGCATCTATATTTACGGATAAATCTATGGTACCCATCTTTCACTTTTCTGTTTTGTTTTATATAGACAAATGATTTTTTGGGTATACACGTCTTTGTACGGAATACATACATGCATCTTTTTACGCATCCTTGCGATTGGCAAGAAAAAAATTGTATGGTACTAAAAAAATTAGTTTTGGGCAAGTTCAACCCTATTTTTACTATTACGAGAAGTAGCAGCACTCACAATTGATGATATTTTATTTTTCTTGGTTGGCTTTTGTTTTCTTGGTACAGGGTTATATTTGGGATGTTGATAGCCCTGCCAATGACTCTAGTGTACTACATCTTGCTGGGACTTTGAAGGTGAAGCAGGAAAATTGTTACCGAGGCTAAACCTAGTAATAACCACAGTTCTGACCCCTTTCACTAGTATAGGTGTTTTTGGCTTCTAACAGGAGAACTGAGAAATTCAGTTACATATAATAGAGGCTAGAGAAGAGGGGAAGTGGAAGACAACCCTCTGCAAACAAGGCTAGTAGAGAGAAAAATGAATGACTTATTTTGACTAGCAGCTACTAGATATTTTTGTTTTCTTGTTTTACCACTTTTTCTGAACCTTCTTTGGCATTTGATAGTGAAGCTTGTTTGTTGTTCATATTCTACATTCCTCCTTTCTGAATAAGTCAAAAACATTTTAACCTAAGGGAACACTCCTTTGGGTTACTGTTTTTAATTTTGAGTAAATTATACTCGGATTCTTTGAGAATTGTTACTTAATCACATGAATCCTTTTAGGTATTACAAATTACACCGACACCCACTCTCAATAATGGTCAATTAATGGATGCAACGAAAGCTACAAAATGACTAACATTACTCTCGCATAAATACCAAATGAAATTAAACCAAACTCAAACCCAAATGTCAAAATGGATTGGACTGGGTTATTTGGATTAGTCAATTGTTTTTACTACCAGTTAACCTAAGAAGACATTGTGTTATGGTTTAATAATATCACTAGCTAATCTAAAAAATTGTTAAGTTATGGTTCAAGATGCATACACTTACTATACTAATGTTGATTGAGTAATTCAAGCAATTCTCATAAATGGTTTGACCTTTTGAGTTAGTTAGTTGACATGTATATCACCGCTAATTTAAGAAGTTGTTGTAGTATAATTTTTATATATTAGATCTATCAGTTGATTTTTCAGTGACGTGGAAGTTAATTGTTGTAAGATAGTATTTTCAGTATTTAACCAATATAAATCATGAGTTCCTTAAACTGAAGGGTATTTTTCATATTATTGTCCTTTAACAATTTGTTTATATATTTAATTTACTTCGACTAGTTATCAATCTAAGTTTACATCACAAGCTATCTCATGCTACACTGCTTTAATGGTAACTTTACTATTCTTATTTTAAATTCTAAATTATTAAAAAGTTTTTGTGGGATCGATGTTAAACTTAAACCGAGAAAATTACAATTCGATTACTTATACTTTGATGTATAATATAAATTCGATCACAAAATAGCTCGAATCAAACGCCGTGACAATTAAGAAACGTCCCATCATGTGCATCTCGAGGTCGATCTTATACAGCCTTGCTGACCCAATATAGAGCTTAGTCCCAACTCATACTACTCTGCTTGCCTAGGGATTGGGCGGCAACTGATGGTACCTAAAATATGCCTGAGATTGAGCTCGGTAAAACAAGTCATACTCTCTTAGATCGGGGAGCTTAGTTGATTTAAGTTGTCTATAGACCTCGGTTTCAGATCTTGAGTTCTCTGCATTTGCATTTCAAGGAAGGTAGCATNTGAATAATTTTTCTAGTATCTCCTTGGTGAAAATTGCATTTATGTAGATATATGGTAATGTACTACTATGCATATTATAATGTTATGAGTAAATATATGCATGATGTTAAAGCATATTACTTAAAAAACAATGGGCAACAAGTGGAGATGTGCACAAGGATCATGTATTAATTTGGGAAATGTTATTTTATGGACGTGAGATGAGCTCTTATACACCCTGCATATGCGAACACAGATCGCATGTGGAAAGTTATATGGTCATGGTGTCAAGTATACATGCATCTATATTTACGGATAAATCTATGGTACCCATCTTTCACTTTTCTGTTTTGTTTTATATAGACAAATGATTTTTTGGGTATACACGTCTTTGTACGGAATACATACATGCATCTTTTTACGCATCCTTGCGATTGGCAAGAAAAAAATTGTATGGTACTAAAAAAATTAGTTTTGGGCAAGTTCAACCCTATTTTTACTATTACGAGAAGTAGCAGCACTCACAATTGATGATATTTTATTTTTCTTGGTTGGCTTTTGTTTTCTTGGTACAGGGTTATATTTGGGATGTTGATAGCCCTGCCAATGACTCTAGTGTACTACATCTTGCTGGGACTTTGAAGGTGAAGCAGGAAAATTGTTACCGAGGCTAAACCTAGTAATAACCACAGTTCTGACCCCTTTCACTAGTATAGGTGTTTTTGGCTTCTAACAGGAGAACTGAGAAATTCAGTTACATATAATAGAGGCTAGAGAAGAGGGGAAGTGGAAGACAACCCTCTGCAAACAAGGCTAGTAGAGAGAAAAATGAATGACTTATTTTGACTAGCAGCTACTAGATATTTTTGTTTTCTTGTTTTACCACTTTTTCTGAACCTTCTTTGGCCTTTGATAGTGAAGCTTGTTTGTTGTTCATATTCTACATTCCTCCTTTCTGAATAAGTCAAAAACATTTTAACCTAAGGGAACACTCCTTTGGGTTACTGTTTTTAATTTTGAGTAAATTATACTCGGATTCTTTGAGAATTGTTACTTAATCACATGAATCCTTTTAGGTATTACAAATTACACCGACACCCACTCTCAATAATGGTCAATTAATGGATGCAACGAAAGCTACAAAATGACTAACATTACTCTCGCATAAATACCAAATGAAATTAAACCAAACTCAAACCCAAATGTCAAAATGGATTGGACTGGGTTATTTGGATTAGTCAATTGTTTTTACTACCAGTTAACCTAAGAAGACATTGTGTTATGGTTTAATAATATCACTAGCTAATCTAAAAAATTGTTAAGTTATGGTTCAAGATGCATACACTTACTATACTAATGTTGATTGAGTAATTCAAGCAATTCTCATAAATGGTTTGACCTTTTGAGTTAGTTAGTTGACATGTATATCACCGCTAATTTAAGAAGTTGTTGTAGTATAATTTTTATATATTAGATCTATCAGTTGATTTTTCAGTGACGTGGAAGTTAATTGTTGTAAGATAGTATTTTCAGTATTTAACCAATATAAATCATGAGTTCCTTAAACTGAAGGGTATTTTTCATATTATTGTCCTTTAACAATATGTTTATATATTTAATTTACTTCGACTAGTTATCAATCTAAGTTTACATCACAAGCTATCTCATGCTACACTGCTTTAATGGTAACTTTACTATTCTTATTTTAAATTCTAAATTATTAAAAAGTTTTTGTGGGATCGATGTTAAACTTAAACCGAGAAAATTACAATTCGATTACTTATACTTTGATGTATAATATAAATTCGATCACAAAATAGCTCGAATCAAACGCCGTGACAATTAAGAAACGTCCCATCATGTGCATCTCGAGGTCGATCTTATACAGCCTTGCTGACCCAATATAGAGCTTAGTCCCAACTCATACTACTCTGCTTGCCTAGGGATTGGGCGGCAACTGATGGTACCTAAAATATGCCTGAGATTGAGCTCGGTAAAACAAGTCATACTCTCTTAGATCGGGGAGCTTAGTTGATTTAAGTTGTCTATAGACCTCGGTTTCAGATCTTGAGTTCTCTGCATTTGCATTTCAAGGAAGGTAGCATAAAAGACAGTTGACTCCCACCAAATATCACCACAATAATGGCAGGTGCTTATCTAGGCAGAAGATTCATAACTACCCCAACACTCATCATAGTCGTTGCCTAATAAAAATGACCGATAAGCAAGGATCTCGCCAAAGATCAAGCGAAGCTCAAGATTAATTAAAAAAAGAGGACTTGACCCTCAGCAGTAAAGACAAGCAATTGTAGCCTTACTCAAAGACTTTGTGTAAAATTCTCCCATTATCAATATATCTCCTATGAGCACGAGACTCATTTGAGAGTGGATTAACTGAGCTTTCCGAATTAGTGAACTACTATAAACCCTCGTGTGTGAAAATCTCACTCCCCAACTCCAATTCTCACAGAGCCTAGAAGTTTAGACATAATTATTTAGTATCCATTACATTCATAATTTTGCTATGTCGTGCTATAAGCATCATCACCACCATTTTAGTTTCCATTCAATAAAATTTTACACTATAAAATTATTTATTTTATTATTCTCTTAACGAATACAATAAATCATTCAAATAAAAATTAAAAACATGAGATGAATTTTAATATATTGCCAAAATAGTACAATAACTTTATCCTAAGTTGGCGTTACAACGCAGCCACAATACAACATTCACCATTTTTTTTACCACAACCACCACCTTGAGAATTAAGCCTAAAGTATCTTAATTGTTTATCTGTATTCCTTTTCTATCATAAAAGTTTTAATTTATTTCTTAATTTTTTTTATTTCTATAAATACAAGGTTTAAACTTATACATTTCAATCACATTTTCGAGGCAAAAACTTTTAACATGTATTGATTGTGTATGTCACACAATTAAGCAGAACTTATGATTTTTAGGGATCACTGAATGACTCATTCGGAGCTCCTAGACTCTTAAGAACTGAACAAGGGAAGTGAGGATTTGCATACAAAGAGTTTATAGTGGTTCACCAACTCAAAAACTCGGTTAATTCATTCTGAAGGGAGTCTCTTTCTCCTAGGGATGATATTATTGACAAAATGGGGAAGATTACGCACGATATTTGTTTAGGCTAGTTGCTTGTGTTTTATTATGAGGAATATGCCTCTTATTTATAATCTATTAAGGCTTCGCCAGATCCTTGGTGTGATCCTTACCTTTTTTTTGTAACGGTTGCGCCTTTTATGCGATTGTCATGAACATTGTTAAGACGATTACGACTTCCTTGCCCAAATATAAGACCGTTACGTTATGTGTGGTGTTTGGGTAGAAGACAATTGTCTTATGTACTATTCCTGTGGAGGTGCAGTTGCTAGGGAGGAGGTACCGATCTCAAATTTCCTAGTCATCTGTGATGGGTTGAGTGGTCTGAGCTTAGAAGGTCCGAGATGAATACTTGAGCTCAACCTTAGACATATTTTGGATATCATCATGTATTATTATTTATCACTTGAAAAAGGGCACACTTTTGATTGAATTCATATAAACAACAAAGGTAGACATTCTAAAAAGTTTTTTAAAATTTAATGTGAATTGTTATATTAATGAGTAATATTAATTTTTTTTAGTGAAATTCATTGATATGACTACATATTGGAAACAAAATTTGGAAAAATTCATGGGATGTTTTATAGTGTTGTTGCTATGCCAATGCAATGAAAATCCATCAGACTTCATTTCCAAGCACTTGGGGCAGGCCCAGATGAATTTCAAGGCTAGTGAAAAAATAACTATGTTATTTGGAAAAAAATAACAATATCTGTTTTAATTTTTGGATATAAGAATGAAAAAATTGATATGATTCAATAATGTTTTTATAAATTTGTTTAGGGAGTATAGGCGCGATTATATCGCTCAGGTTTG